GCGCGCGGCGGCCCCCGGCCGGCCCCCCGCAGCCCCACAGATTTATTGGGAAGCCTCGAGGACGCTGAGTGCGGGCCCGCGGCCGAGGACGCCACGGGGCCGCGGCAGCGAGAGGGACTGGAGGGCCCGAGCACAAGGAAGAGCCGGGCCGCAGACCAGGGGTCCAGAGGCTGCCGGGGACTTAACTCACCTGGGGAAGTCGACAGGCCTGTGAGAGCCGGCCCAAGCCGGAAAAGGAAACATCAAGAAGGTATGGAGACCTCCGCCCTCCATTATCACCAGACTAAAAACGGCCCAAAGATGGGAAGAGATTCGTTCCTGTCCCAGAATGTGACTCATCGAGACAAAGCCTGCTCTTGGGCCAAAACCAGGGCCTCCTTAAACCTCCACAAGAAGAAAGTTGTGACTGATGTGTCAGAGGTATGCAGCAGTCACACCATGGCCACTTCTCTCTCAGCATCCCTATCAGAGTGTTCAAACCTTTCTATCATGAACAGAACAAATAGTGCACTTTTCTCTTGGCATTCCTCTTTTATGCATTTGCTAAGCCCCTTAAAGACTGTACATGTTCCAGACAGAAAGGCGTCTGATGCTGAAAAGGTGTATGGGGAATGCAATCAGGAAGGTCCTATCCCCTTTAGCTCTTGCTTTCCCATAGAAAAACTGGAACACTGTGAGAAGATTGGGGAAGGGGTGTTTGGTGAGGTGTTTCAGACAATGGCTGGCCAAACACCTGTAGCACTAAAAATCATTGCCATTGAAGGATCAAATTTAGTGAATGGATCACATCAGAAAACCTTTGAGGAAATCCTGCCAGAAATTATCATTTCCAAAGAGTTAAGCCTCTTGTCTGATGAGGCATGCAACCGCACAGAAGGCTTTATTGGGTTGAACTCAGTGCACTGTGTCCAAGGGTCTTACCCTCCCTTGCTCCTCCAGGCCTGGGATCACTATAACTCAACCAAAGGGTCTCAGAATGATAGGCCTGACATTTTTGAGGAAGACCAACTCTTCATTATACTGGAATTTGAGTTTGGTGGCATGGACTTAGAGCAAATGAAAAAAAAGTTGTCCTCCCTTGCTACTGCAAAGAGCATTTTACACCAGATCACTGCCTCCCTCGCAGTGGCAGAGACATCACTGAACTTTGAGCACCGGGACTTGCACTGGGGAAATGTGCTCTTAAAGAAAACCAACCGCAAGGAACTCCACTACACCCTCAATGGAAAGACCAACGCCATTCCCACCCATGGTTTGCAAGTCAACATCATTGACTATACCCTGTCCCGCGTGGAGCGGGATGGGATTGTTGTTTTCTGTGACATTTCCACAGATGAAGAGCTATTTACAGGTGAAGGTGACTACCAGTTTGAGATCTACAGGCTCATGAGGAGGGAGAACAACAACTGCTGGGATGAATATCACCCTTACAACAATGTCCTCTGGCTACATTACCTCACAGACAAGATTCTGAATCAAATGACCTTTAAGTCTAAATGTAACACCCCTGCCATGAAGCAAATGAAGAAGAAGCTCCAACATTTCCACAAGACAGCGCTGAACTTCAGATCTGCCACTGACTTACTCTGCCAACACAGTCTGTTTCAGTAAGCCAGTGTATCTTACTCCTTTAAACAGAGGGGTCCTGGTCTTGAAACCTCTGGTGCGGTTTTTCAGTTTCCATCCCGAATCTCAGGGTGGAAACTGAAATTTTAGTTGATTTGGTTAAGGTTGTTGTTAACAGATGTTCTTTAAACTACCTATGTGAACAAGTATTTACAACCTGTAAGTCTGCTTCCTAGTTGTCAGCAAAATCCATCTGTAAAGTGCATATTTTTGTTTTTAAGCCTTGATCTTTTATGTAGCCTGAGCAAAGTGCAAACAATCAGGAAAGCCCAAGCCTCAGCTGTTAGGCTGAGTTGCTGCTTTAGGTATTAGGCTGCCTTTGGGAACTGGACAAAAGATAGTCAACTGAAAGCAAAGAGGCTTTAGGAAAGACTAGAGGGAGAGAAAGGGAAGACAATTTATAGAGGGAAGTGTGGGATGTTTTTCAAGTTCTCATAAAGCAGAATTTCAATTTTCAAAAGGGAAATAAACGTTTTCATGGCTACTAATAATGTTGGAAATTTTGCTTATCAAAGTGAGGAAAAGAAATGTTTTAAGAGGTGAGTAATCAATATTCCTTCTGTTTTCCCCTGGTTAATTAATCTTGATTTTTTTGTTGTTGATTGATCGGTGTAGGGGGTTGTTTGTTTGACTATGTAGTCTTGAACTCATGATCTGCCTATCTTAGCCAGCCTTCTGAGTGTTGGGATTACAGTCATACTCAGCTATTAACCTTTTTATTCCCCTAAAGTTCTAGTTTTTATATTGTTATCTATAAATACACTAGAAAGATGTGATTGTGATAAAGAATTACTTTTACATACCTGAGTTTTTGTCAGATTTTTCACTCTTACAATCTGGAGACCTTGTAATTTAATTGGGACACAAATTTGCAAGTGGAATTTGGCTCCAAAGACATTTTCTCCATGTATCTGTCAAATCAGAGCAGGAGAGTAAGTATGGTGGCACATACCTGTGACCTCAGCAGTCAGGACACTGAGGCAGGAGATCATAAGTTTGAGACCAACCTGAGATGCTTCAAACAGGAAGGGAAAGGAGGAAGGAAAAATCATTGGTAATGTTGCTTTGCAACAAGCACTAAGCACTCACACTGAAAAGGAATTCTTTGTGTTCAGAAAGTCCCAGGCTTGCATTCATGTATATCACTGATGGTCTGCAATTAAGAGAAAATACATTAAGCCTCAAAGTCTCCTTCTCCTTTTGAGTGTATTTAACTGTATATACCAGTATAGAGAGTACCAGCCCCTTAAAAGGAATCAAAATTGAATGTCAGTTTAAAATATTTATAAGGTGGTTGGGGTGAAGTAGACTATTGTGTCTAGTTGGGCTGGTTTATTTATAATGATCACTACTCAGAGTGGTCTTTCTAATTTCTAGCCCTATAGTCCTTTTCCACCCATACCATCGTATCTGTTCCCTCTTATAGAAAAATAGTTGGTAATTTTTGTTTGTTTGTTTTTGCTGGGCCTGGGACTTGAACTCTGGGCCCAGGTGCTGACCCTGAGCTTTTGTGCTCACGGCTAGTGCTCTACCATTTGAGCCACAGCTCCACATTCGCGGGGGGGGGTGGTTAATTGGAGATAAGAATTGTTGGGGGGGGGGGGGGGGGGGGGGAGGCTGGGAAGCGATGTGAGGGGGGAACGTGTTAATTGGAGGTAAGAGTCTTATGAACTTTCCTGACTGGACTGGCTTTGAACCACAATCCTCAGATCTCAGCCTCCTCAGTAGCTGAGATTACAGGTGTGAGCCACCAGCACCCTGGTCTGGCAGTGCTCTTTTTGATGACCACTGTGAAGTGTCTAGAACCTAAACATTAGTGTCCTAGATCAGTGTCAGATGCTTCAGAGAAGACAAGGACCATGTATCACCTTGCCAGCAGGTCCATCACAAGAGGCCTGAAGCTCTCCTGTGTGAGGAATTACACAGGCATCAGCCCCTTGGAAGTTCTTACCTGGGGAGAACAGCAGTGAAGGCATGCCGGAATTGAAGACTGTGAGTCTCTCTGGCCAAAGACCTTTCCTCAGAACTGGAAATACAAATGTAAACAAGTGACTAAATAGAAAACCACCCTTAAAAAGTATTAACTTTTTTATTTTTTTGCATTTTGGTCAGTCGTGGGGCTTGAACTCTGGGCCTGGGTTAGATCCCTGAGCTTTTCAGCTCAAGGCAAGCATCTACCACTTGAGCCACAGTGCCACTTCCGGTTTTCTGGTGGTTAATTGGACTTTCCTGCCTGGGCTGGTGTTAAATGACAATCTTTAGATCACAGCCTCCTGAGTAACTAGGATTACAGGCATGAGCCACCAGTGCCCAGCTAATTTTTTTACTCAGGGCTGGGTGCTGTCCTTGAGCCTTTTTTTCCTCAGCGCTAGCACTCTACCACTTGAACTACTGCTCCACTTAGGGCTTTTTTGGTATTAGAGATAAGTCTCATAGACTTTCCTGCCTGGGCTGGCTTCAAACTTAGATCCTCAAATCTCAGCTTCCTAAGTATTACAGGTGTGAGCCCCCTGACTAAATGGGCTTTTTAAGCCTCAATATTGTTCACATTGTGGGCCAGATAATTCTTCATTGTGGACTTGCCCTGTATATTGTATGATGGTTAGCAACATCCTTGGTAGTACCTCCTCAGTCATGACAATTAAAAATGCCTCCAGACATTGCCTCCGAGGAGCAGAATCACCCTGACACCATACAACATCCTACCCTATACAAAGGGATTGGCAGATGATAGTTACTCCTAAGTTAAAACCATAACTAGGAATCTTTGCTAGCTGGGCATTGGTGGCTCATGCCTATAATCCTAGTCACTCAGGAGGCTGAGATATGAGGATCATGGTTTGAAGCCAGCTCAGGCAGACAAATCTGAGAAACTTTTATGTCCAGTTAATCACCAAAAAGTCAGAAATGGATGTGTGGCTCAAGTGGTAAAGTGCTAACTTTGAGTGAAAAAGCCAAATGAGGAAAGAAAAACATACATACATACATAGATATCTTTGATAACAAGAAGAGAAGACAGAGTCACTGTCAGGATACAGAGGCTCCCTGAGGTTTCCCGGCTCTCTGGGCAGTAGGGTTATGATAGCAGTCATGTCACACATGTTATTGTGTGCTGTGTCGCAGGCACTACTTACTTGGAGATTGTCACAGTGATGTCTGCTGTCCTGTTGGGGAAGGGGAAAGCATTCTCTAGCTGCCAAACTACTGAGGCATTTGCCTGTTTTAAAGAGAGAGAAATAGTCACTTGATACGGTTCACAATCCAACTGCTTACTAATTAAACAGAGCTAGGAAAAGTGTTAGTTCTATACATGTTAACACCCTGCACTCCACATCCATAATTGTAAGTAAGCCTCAAGTGCAAATGCAGAGTAGAGTTGGCAATCAACCCTTTTCTGCTGCAGACAGATCATTTGATTTGATGCCCTTCCACATTTGCATACCTGGGATGAACCGACACTAAGCTATGGATGTATTTTGAGAAACTATCCCTATCCGTGCCACTTTCAGAGCTATTCTAGCAGTCCTGAGCACTGCTGAGAGAAGCACAGTGGCCACAGCTGAAAGACCTGAATGAGGCTCAGGTGTGGACAGCACTGACTTCAGGTAGGAAGAAGAGCCAGCTTATCCAATAGACTCACAGACGACTTCTTGAGTATGGGGTGGCCAATCTTGCAGTTCATGACCAGGGCAGAAGCAACTGGCACTGGATCATCACACTGAATGTCTGGAGAGAAAGGCTGTTAACACAGAAGGAGATGCTGTTCTTAAGAAGCAAAAGAGAAAATATTTCCTAACACAAATTTAATAATCATTCACTGATTTTCTATATGCCAGATGATATGGCCAGAGCTGGGGACCCAGTCTTCTTCACAAGCTGGGCAAGAGAGCTCAGTGGGAGAAAGCTAAAGAGGTGTTTTTGTTTTGTGTCATGCTGGGGCTCAAATTTGGGACCTGGGTACTGTCCCCAAGCTTTTTTGCTCAAAGATACTATTCTACCACTTAAGTCACTGCTCACTTGCAACTTTTCTTTTTTCTTTTGGTGGTTAATTGGAAATAAGAGTCTCAAGGACTTTCTTGCCTGGTCTGGCTTCAAACCTCCATCCTCAGATCTCAGCCTCCTGAGAAGCTAGGATTATAGGCATAAGCCACAGGTGCCTGACTAAAGTAGAGTTTAGATACAATGCCTAGGGTGGTTCAGTGACAGCAGCAGAGAGCAAAAATGGCAGGAGGTTGGTTCTAGCTAGGTTGACTACAATCCTCACGGGAAGGGCATGTTGCTTTGGTACTGGGCTGTGGATTAATGTCCCATTTACCTTAAGTATATAAGATAGAAATTTAGTCTGCTTCACTTTGTCAAAGTGACAGCACAAATAGCCTAGGACCAACCCCTGGGATGCTACACTATCATTGCAACGGAGTGAAATTTATTGAGGCACTGCAATTAGGAAACTGCATTGTGGCATCAGATCCAGTAAAGGAAAAGATAGTTATTAAGGGATTCTAGGAATGACTGGAGCTCGGGTAAAGCATGAATAAAGCTATTTTAATAGCAAAGCAGGGCTGTATAAAGGGGTCAGTCTGGGACAGGTCTAGACTGTGGAGTGGTCCACTGATGATTAATTACAGATGAAAGCTGTGTCCAGAACATTTATTTTTTTGGTCAAGGGGCTTGAACTCAGCCTGGGCACTGTCCCTGAGTTCTTCAGCTCAAGGTGAGCGCTCTACCGCTTGAGCCACAGTGCCACTTCCAGTTTTCTAGTCGGTTATTGGAGATAAGAGTCTCACAGTCTTTCCTGCCCAGCCTCTCTTTGAACCACGATCCTCAGATCTCAGCCTCCTGAGAAGCTAGGATTACAGGTGTGAGCCACCGGTGCCTGGCTGTCCAGAACATTTTTTTTTTGTCAGTCGTGGGGCTTGAACTCTGGGCCTGGGCGCTGTCCCTCAGCTCTTCAGCTCAAGGCGAGCGCTCTACCACTTGAGCTATAGCGCCACTTCCGGTTTTCT